CCTCTGGCATCCAGGACCTGGACTTCCTTCGCAGCCCCAGCTTCATGCAGAAGGTGGTCCAGAAGCATGTCCAGTCTAATTACATATTATGCTTTTATTATTATAGATATGTAAATAAAAGTAAGGATCTGAAGAATTTTAATAACAACCTTCTATTGAGGCACATAGTAATGAAAGTAAGCCCTGCCCTAAATCAGTAGGGAAATTCAAAAGGGACAGATAAGCTAACACTGTACTGTGTAATAATAATATGATGATAATATCATTTTAGATTTCAGTACTAAATGCTCTCATATATATAATTTTTTTTTCTCAATTGATCTCAAAACAAAGCCAGATACACACTGTTCTCCATTTTACACACAAGGAACCTGAACGTGTAAACAGTCAATGATTTCTCCAGTGAGTGACAGATCTACAGGGAGAGCCAAGATTCTCCTGACATCACATCCTTGCTCTCCCAACATTATCATGTTGTCCATTCCCCAAAGTCCGGTAAAAGTCTCAGCAACAGAAGGGACAGGGGAAGCCACTCTTTTTCAATTTGATGGCACTTTAGAAACAGAAATTGAATCGAGGGAACTCCCATCATTAAATTCAGCTATACCCCCCACCCACATCTTTTGGTCTCTTTTCTCAATTTCAGCTTAGACTCCTCTATCTCTTCTTTCTTTTTCTAAAGACACATTTGGAGATGAAGCCATTCATAACTGCCCATCCACAGACAGTTTGTGGCAGTATAATTGACAATGAGTCTGCTGCAAAAAAATGAAAATGCTGTTTTAATAACCCTGGCCTAAAATACATTCTGTTGTATGCCTCAAAGGGTTTCAATAAAAAGTCAACCTGTAGAGACATATTTTCTTGGCTTAAACAACAATCCAAAGCATATAAATGTAGTCCAACTATAATGACATATTTATAGGCCAATAAAGCTTACACTGCAGCTTTCATACTTCACTTAAAGGAACTCTGTAAGAAGCAGTGTTATATAAAATAATTTGATTCTTCTTTTTTTTACAAACTATTGCCCAAGGAATATTAAAAAAAAAAAAAAAAAAAAAGCAAGTTTGCTACATTTAACTGATAGTGTTTATAATCCTTAAATGCTAAAAATTTCATAAAACAAAATAATTCATTTGGTTAATTCCAACTGCCATACCAAATATGGGTATCAAGTCCACTTTATTACAAAAGCTAAGCACTGTAATTCTAAAGACAAAAATAAATAACAAGAGGCTTGTGTAGTGAATGATTTAATCAACCCGATTCTTCTGGAAAAACAGGTTCCTGTGTTCGTTATGCTTATGAATAATACATTCCTTAACCCTTCTATTTTAACAGAGGGTTGTGTTTTCTTTTTCTTTTCTATAAACTTTGGTATGAAACGTCTGAAAGAAGGTAAAACATCTCATTGAGTAAAGTCACAATTTGAATTGGTTTCATATTGAACTTTCTTTCTTTGAAAAGGACCAAGAGGAGGAAGGGGACGGTGTATTTTAACACATCTCAGAAGTGTTAGATTATTAGTTTTCCCACTATCTAGATCTGTAGTTTTAGTCACCAGTCATTTTGAATCTTAAATGAAAACTCCAGAGAGTTTTAAAAAAGCAAATATGACATCTATAAATATTGTCCTTGAAAGGGAAGGGGATAAAAAAAAAAAAAATGAAGGAGTTGTGATTTGAATCAGAGCAGTTATTGGAAGCTGCCATTTGGGGCAGAGTTTCTCTTTGTGGAGAATTAATTTGTTGGCAGACACACATTTATGAGAACATTCTTGTGTGTGTGTGTGTGTGTGTGTGTGTGTGTGTGTTTTACTATTCAGAGAGAGACAGGAAGTGACACAAACTGAGATTAAAGGGAATTTATTTTACCTAAACAAGGAGCAGGAAGAGTTCTTTAATTAGCTTTTATATGGTAAAATCCCTGCTTTAAGAGTCACCCTAATTATTTTGTTTTTATTGATGTTTTAACATGATGAAATAACTCAGCTGAAAAATAACATAATGCAGTTTTACTTTATACACAGAAAGGCGAGATCTTTCCATTCTTTGCTTACTTCCACCAGAAAAAAAGAAAGAGGGGGGTCTTAAGTAATCTCAGAGTTCATCTTCTTTCTTTGGTAAGAACAATGAGGAGTTGGAAGGGTTCTACAGAAGGAAAAAACCTAATAAGTGTGTGAACTTCCATTAACAATGTGGTATTGGAAGTGGTTTTAGTGTGCCCAGAGAAGGGAGATAAGAAAACCACTGTGTAGAAAGAAAAGTACAGACAACAAATATTTTGATGTTGCAGACAGAGAGATGAAGAGGTTGAAGAGAAAGTTGCTGGGACAGGAATGCATATAGCAAATGACACCCCCTGTCTCCCCAATATAAATCCTAACAATGTAGACTTGTAAACCTTAGATCAAGCAGATAATGGAAACTCATTACATTAAGGAAAGTTTTTGTTTCTCTTTCCACATTATTACAACACAGTGTGCATTCCAATTACAAAAGCTATTTGTCTCAAATTCCCCACAGTTCATACCAACTGAGTAGAATTTCAAGGTCCAAATTCTATCCTTAAAGGGGTATTTTACATTAAATAAAGAAAAAGTACATGATGTTTCTTGCTCAGCAGAGAAGAGCCTCCAATCAAATCTCCTGTTGATTATTTTCTTTTCCTCAGCACTAATAGAATAATTGTTTCCCAAATGAGATACCCCACTCCGGCAAAAGAAAAAGAAAATTAGAATTCCCTAAAATGCCCTTTATCAGCAAATACTCCATAGTCTTGCCTCAATTCTACTGAAAGAAGAATCTGGGGAAGCAGACTCAGCAATCAGTATTATTTTTAAAATTCCCCTGGTGTGTGTAATGAACAACTAGGTTTTAAAACCACTAAGTATTTTGAATATTCACTTGAAACCAATTACTTCTGAAATCAATTATTCAAAATGTAGAGTATGGACATTTTTTTTTAGAATTCAAAATATTAAAACCTGTAAATCTCTTGATGGAATTAAGAGATTCGGTTTCTTTCCATGTCCATTAATAAACTATCAATGCTAAAACACAAAACCATAAAAATATATTTTAAAAATATATTTTAAAATAATAAAAAATAAAGATCACCCTAAAAAAAATGGAGATATCTGTAATACTATCAACAATAAAAAATATATTTAAAAAATAAAGCTCATTCTCTAAAATAAAATACAAAATAACCTTGCTATAAATACTCTTATTTATATGTGTGACATCAAGCTTAACCATCTACACATCCTTTTGTCCCCTGTGGGTTTCCTGTTTAGTTTTTTATTAGTAACAGTATATTCCATAACTAAAGAAAAAAAAATTCAAACAAAAGAAAGCTTTTAATGGTAAGGAAAACAAGACAATAGCAATACTTAGATCAAACATTAGGAAAGTGACAAAACAGATGTATTATTCAGTGTTGTTATATGTCAGAAGACTTTTGTCTGTGTGTTCACAGAATTGAGGGGTGCAACTGTATATACCGTAGAGGAAGATTTCTTTAAAAAAAAAAAAAAAGTTCTTTGGACTTTAAAAAGAAAACCATTAGATTAATAATTGTCTTTAACTATGCACATGACAATCAGGCTGCCATGTCCAAAATATTACTGTCTGACATCTACCAAAAGGTGCCAGGAAACTGTTGATCATTAAACTCAAATTGCAAGAAAATATTAATGCTATTCCCAGAGCTCATCACAAACCAGAATCACATGAAAGATAGTCAGCCACTGGTTTTATTCAATCTCTTTACACCAATTAAGATAGTCTATATTTGTTGAAATAGTTAAATACTAGGTGGAAAGAAAAAAAACAGGAAGTTTATGTCATATTGAGGCATAAAATAGGGCTATGAAAATCAGCATTATGTTAGAATGAAAGAAAAAGATGCCTTAAGATGCTAAAAGTAAAGTTCCTCTTTGCCTAAAGAGGAAATAACTAGTCTAAATCAGAGGTCAGCTTAGGTCTTGAGCAATGCTAGAAGAGTAAGTCAGTGGATGCCACAGGGATATACAAACAAAAGAAAAAAAAAACCACATGGGGTACAAAAGTGTCAGTAGAGGAGAAAAGTGTTTGTTTGTTTTGTTTTGTTTTAAAAAGCAACATAATTAATTGTGGAGCTCCTCCTACACCAATTTCTGTGCTTGACCCTTTATATCTTACATTTCACACTCACCCTATAAAGTCCCAATATTTTTCAGATGGAGAAACTGAGGCTTAGAGGTTAAATTATTTGCCCAAGGCTGCACAGCTAAGTAGGCAGCACAGTCAGGGTTCAAACACTAATTAGGATAACTTTTCCAAATCCCAGTTCTCCTTTGAATCTACTGAGGAAGAGAGAAAGGAAGGAAAGAAAAAAATATGTAGGTGATAGTGATGCCTCAAAAGCTCAGGAAAACCTATGCTGACCAGCCCTGCTTTGACCTTGCTCTCCTGCTCCACATTAAGCAACTCATCTCATCCTCATTTTGCTTCCCATCCAATGGAAAACGTGAAATTCCAACATGGCGTCCATTGATGTCATACTATCTACTTAAAGCAAATATCCAAACTCTTCACTGATTCAGTTTAGGTGGCTAAGTAAGTCTTATACCTTGACCCCAACTGAAAGCTGCTTAAGGCCACGTATTACAGCAGCCAGTTCCTGGCTCAGGGGTTAACACATAGGAGGTAATGTGATCTTACAGGTGATGTAGTTGTCCATCTATATTCTCAGGCCCCTTCAAAGTTAAAAAAAAATTATATATATAATCAGGAGATTATATATATATATATATATATATATATATATATATATATAGTTATACACACACACTCACACATATATATACATATATACACACATACATATATATCAGTATTTATATATGTATATATCAGCAAATATATATCAGGGTTTCCAGGAAAATCTAAACCAAACAAGAAGGTTACTGTGTTTGCCCACACATTGGATTTAGAAGCACAGAGTGTATTTACCAAGGTCAGCCTTTTCCTTGAGAACATCTTTGAAGTTGAGTCCACTGTTGAGGGTGGACTGCCTGTACTTCAGCAGAGCTTCCTTCTGTCCGTTTCTTCCCAAGGCCTCTGCTTTCAGGGACCCAGCGTGGAGGCCACATCTCCACTTGGAGGAATCAGAATGAACCCACTTGACCAGGTCTTCAAGCTTCACAATCACTTTTTCAGAAACAGCAATGACTTCATCCTACAATAGGTGGTTGAGGAAAGAACAAAAACCATTATTTGTGGTTCTGGGGTAAATGCTAATTTTTCAACAAAGTCCATCTGAAAAACTATTTGAGCAGCTTAACCTAATGCCAGCTGACAATGCGCTTTTCGATGACAGAGATTCTTCAATAACTCACTTCATTTCAGTGGTTTTTCACTGCTGGTTGTCTAGTTGAGGAATAATTTATAAGATATATTTTTTATATGATTAGAAAGTACAAAACTTGGGCAGTAATTCTAACAGCCATTTTTTAATGCTAGTTGCCAAAACTCACTCTGCCTATCTAACCACTTGGGTGAAAGCTAATTTTTAAGTGCAATTAATTGCAAAAGTAAAAAAGTGAGAACTAGATGACTAATGGTTAGCCTGTCTCTATATAAATAGTCTAAGTAAATCTGGGATTCTTGGAACTCTGACTCACCCTAAAATTCCTATGTTTATGGTACATTTTCCCTTGGCTTATACACAAATATTGAATTTAACTTTTGTCCTAAAAATTAAATAAAACTGTGATGTAATCCCAAAAGAAATACTTCATAAATGTTATGTGCTTCCACTGAAAGAAACTTACACATACTCATGTTTCTTAAAAACTTTGTAAGTTGAGAAATGAACTGATTTTTTTCTTTTAATACATATGGGGTAAGAGGCAAGAGGGCGAGTGAGGAGAAAGCCTTTGAATCTAAGAAAAGTAGTTGAAACTTAAGTTCCTCCTATGGCTCATAAATTTGAATTTTAAGCATCTCTAATTGCTTCCAGGAAACAACCAACTTTTCTGACTCAGAATTAATCCAGCGAGATATTTATTAGATGTCCATACATGGAGCAGAGGAAGGCCTCTCACTCAAAGGTTCTTTGGAAAAGGCTTCAGATCATCTCACTGGGTTTTAAGTTAAATTATTTGAAACATTTGACATTTCAACTTGAACTGACTGCTTTCGTTTCTTTTACTTCACATTTCTGAAAAAAAAAAAAAAAGAAAAAAAAGAAAAAAGCTTCGCTGTGAAAACCCCCCAAGCTTATAAAATCTGAGAAATATTTTTGACAAACAACAACAGGAAGATGTCTCTAAGCTATTAAACAAAAGGAATTCACAAGTGATTTTGACTAATTTGGCTGTTAAACATGACTCTTTCCTCCTACACACACACACACACACACACACACCACAGCATTATACACGCTACTCCAAAGCAAACAAAAAAGGGTTTATTAAGATAAGTCTCACACAAGAAAAAAAAACAACCCTGGGTTTAGTTTTTAGAAATATTTTAAGGTGGGATCTAAAGTTACACTTTTGTTCCTCCAGTTCCAAGTAGCTTCTGAGAAGAAAGTTTGTTAGGCAGTAGCAAAATAACAAATACTCTATCAAAAATGAAAAGTAAAACTTGCGTAATGGAATCTTTTCTCTTATCACGATTAACTATGAACTTCCACTAAATGGGAGACAAAGTGGAAACTGTTTTGACCCTCTGCTCAAGAAAAAAAAAAAAAATTTCAATGCTTTACGTAAACAATGGGGCATATTACAAAGTACCATTTCAACGGATGATTTCACTCTGATTCACTACACTATCCTCTTGCAATAAAAGATCTGTAGTTGTCACGCATTTTATAGCTATTACATGGTTATTATTAAATGTCAGACTGAAAATTCAGCCTGGGTTATTGTTTCAAAACATATGGGAACAGCTTCTGGACAGGGCAAACCAGAAATCTAGTTTAGAATAGACTGGAAAATAATTATCATGCTATATAAGTCTCAACATTAGCCAAGATGGAATTTGACAACAATTTTACCAAATATGGTTCCTTAGAAGAGACAAGTTTGGAGATGAGTGTTATTTTCAAATAGCTCTCACTCTGATCAAATGATTATCATTTCAATTACCAGTTGCTTCAGATCATTTCCAAGAAATGGCATGACTAGCTCTGGCTGGCTTCCAATACCCGCCAAACAAATAGTTTATTAACCAAGAGAAAATACAGTCCTAATGATGTCATTGATGAATAAACCCATCTTTCAAGATTCAGACCAGAGATTCTGCACACCCTCCTTTTTCTCTGTGAAAAAGGACCTTCTGAATATATACACAATACACAAAAACAAACGCAGGAATTCACATAAACCTGCATAAGCCATAAACCCAAATTTGGCTTAATTGTGAAACCACCAGTATGTTTTACTGGATTCACAGAGAAACTGGCCCTGCAGCATTGTCAAATGCCAGGATTTAGAAGGAAATCTGATAAGCAGAGGAGGGGAAACAACAAACCAACCCAAAAAACAAAACAGCTAATATATATATAGAAAATGTCTCAGGAAACATTACTTTGTACACACAATGGCATAGATCACATGCTCAAATTTACTATTCTGAACAAGTGCTGACTAAAGTTCCTAATATTCAACATTCTTGGGCAAGTCTCTATGTCTAAGGAAAGAATTTCAATAAGCTCATCTCATAATTACATTAGCTGTCTGCAAACTGAGAATTAGCACTGGATAAATATTGCTGATTTACTCTAATATAACACAAAAGGAACACAAAGAAATATTTTGTTCTTCTATTAGTGTACCTTGGCTTTTCAATTAACCTGGCTCCTAATCAATATTTATGTAGACTGTGTTGAGACACTTTCTAAATCCATACTCCCTTTCATTAATGTTTTAAACTGCCTCTTTCTGTAATTTGGATTTTGTTTCCACCACTGTGTAAAAACAGCTTATTCAATCATGGAATCCTTTAAGTCAGAGGAGATCAGCTAGTCAAGAGGTCATAAATCAGCCAGCCCGGGTGTATGGTTGGCCTCTCCAGGGTTCTAAACACTGATAAATTATACAAAAGTATCCAGCCTTCCAGCTTCTCTTGTAAAATAAAATGAAATAAAAGTATATCTGTCAAAAACAACAAAAACAAAAAGCCCATGATCACCAACAAAAAACAACTGAATGTGAGTAGCAGTTGCCTTCCTTAGATAAGATTCGAGATCTCTATTTACCACGGTCCTCACAACTCTGCATTGCCTTACATTCTGTCCACATTCCCCTTATCTGCCTGGTAGCCTTGGGCAAGCACCCAGTGTTGGAACTTGCATACTCTGATTTAGTCCACTTACCTCATTTTCTTAATGAGGACAATAATGTTCAGGGACATGGCCTAGTGGCAAGTTCTGCTAGAACTTGGACAAGAATCCAGATTTCCTATCTGCCTGGGTTCAAATCCCAACTGCAATTTACATGGAACACTGGACAACTTCACATAATCTGGCCACTCAGTGTATATCCTATATAATAAAAGGCTAATATGCAAATTGTCCTTTAGACCAGGAGTTGGACCAGCAGGCAGACTGGCCAACTACCCCTCCCCCTGGCCAGGCAGGCTGGATCCCACCTATGCACGAATTCATGCACTGGGTTTCTAAAAGACACACACACACACACACACACACACACACACACACACTGAGTGGCCAGATTATTATGTGTATACGTATCTCTCTCTCTCTCTCTCTCTCTCTCTCTCTCTCTCTCTCTATATATATATATATATATATATATAGATATATACACACATATATATTTCAAATGTTTATAAAATAATAATAATAATAATCCACCTTTCATGATAATTATGAGGATTAAATAGGCTATGTAAATGAAGTGGTATGTCATTTGTCGTTATCATCACTCCTTTGCATTCCATTTTCCAAAGCATGCCATTCGGAGATGAGTTTGGATGGTTCATGGGTAAATTTATTTTTTTTTTTAATGTAAGTTACACATTGCTTATTTTTTTGTGTGGCTACTTTCCATTTACAAGAAAATGAAACTGGTTTCTCATTTACAGGAGCTATAGAAAGTTTCCTCTTGAAATAGGTATGTTTTTAAAAATTGACCAATCTGAACAAAACCATTAAGTTAACATGGGGACATGTCAGTATGACAAAAAGAAAAAAAGAGAAAAAAAGCCAAGTTGCTATGAAAATGACTGAGATGTATTAGATCCGTGGTTCTCAAAGTGTGGTCCTGGGGCCTGAGGGAAGCCCTGAGACTACTTCAGGTGGTCCACGGAGTCAAAACAATGATCCTAATAATACTCAGACATTATTTGCTTTTTTTCTTTCTTAGTCTCTTTCAAGTTGGGGTTTTCCAGGGACTACATGACGTATGGTATGGCAACCCAGCGAATGCTCTAACATATTATCTATCAATAGAGATAACCCACAAGATATGAGAATCCAGCTGTCTCTATTAAGCTAGATAATAGATTGACAAAAATGTAAAACAATATCAGTTTTTACTAATTTTTTTTATTTCCAAAAATGTGGTTAAATTTCATAAAAATGTTTAACATTTACATAATGGGTTTATTTTGCCATTTTAGTTTTATTTTTAAAGTTAATTTGTAGTAAAATACCTCTTTTTAAAAATGTATTATTGACAGTATTACAGATGTCCCCCATTTTCTCTCCCTTTGCCCTCCTCCACCCAGCCCATGTTTCATTCCAGCCCTTCCCCACACTATTGTCTGTGTCCATGGCTATATATGCATCTATGTTCTTTGATTAAATATCCCTTTATGGTGTACAGTTCTATGTGCTTTAACACATGGCAAGCACTGATCTGTTCTTGCTATAGTTTTCTCTTTTCCAAAATGTCATAGGAATTGAATCCTATAGTATGAAATCTTTTGAGACTGCTTCTTTCACTCAGCATAACAACCTTTGAGTTCAATCCATGTTGCTACACGTATCAATAGCTTGTTCCTTTTTATTGCTGAGTAGTATACCATTGTATGATGTATCCAAAGTTGGTTTATTCATTCATCCATTGAAAGAATACTGAGTTGTTTCCAGTTTGGGTGTTTACAAACAGAGCTGTTAGAAACATTCACATACAGGGTTTTCTGTGAGCACACATCTTCCATTCTCCACAGTACATACCTAGGAGAGGGATCACTGAGTCATATGGT